GCTGCTTTTCTCTCTGTGTTGTCTTTTCTTCATAAACATTAGTTTTTAGATCATCTTATTTGATTCTAGTTATTCTAACATGTTTGTGGTTCTGGTTCTACTCTAGAGGAACCAAATGTCATTCTGGATGGAAAGATGTGAATCAGAAATGAGAAATAAAGCCATCTTATCTTGTCTCATCATCTGAATCTTTCCCAAATCAAACTGAAAAATCTCCATCATTACTTAACATCATTTGACTGATTTTGCTCATTTTTCTCCATCAGTCCAAAACATTTGAAACTTTCAAGATCTGGAAAATAAAGTTTAATATTTAGAACATCTGGAACAAGAAAATAATTAATTTACAAGGTAAAAAGTCTGAGAAATTTGACTCTGACATTTGAACAGCAGCTGTTTTTAAAGAAAATATATAAGAAGAATATGATGAATTAAAATCAGCATTAAAGTATCAGTGAATGATTTAGTTTAAATAAACAGAGAAAACTCACGACAGTTTCTTCACTTTGCAGATTGAACTCTCCAGTATCTCACACAGATGCTTCATTCTAGAGTGTTCAAAGGATCCAATGATCTTCTCTATTTCCACTTCAGTCAGAAGGAGGTTGGACTTCAGAGCTGAGGCCACAACTTCACATTCAGCCTCATTGAGAGAACAGCCACCAAGTCTGTGATCAGAGGAGAAAATAAGGTCAGTTCTAATGAAATCAGCCAAGCCTACTGATGTCAAACCTGTGATGGTTTCTAACAAGCTTCTCCTGTAGGGTTGGAAGAGGGAAGGATGTGATGATGAGGAGGAGGATGAAGAACATCTAAACTGGGAGGACGAATGTAGCTGGAAATAATCCCAGCAGGTAGGGCTGGAAATGCCCATATCAACATGAATTGTGATTTATTTAAAGTCAAAATCTGAGAACAAAACAGTGTCTGCAACAGGTGAAACCAATATGTAATGTTGAAATCCAAGGTGTTTCTGCAATACTTTCTTCCTCCACCAGATGGCACTCACACAGGAGCTGACCCACAGAAACCTTTTCTGGACAAACAATTACATTAAATGATGAGGCTTATTAGCCTGTCGCTCCCATGTAATGCTGTTACCTGAGTAATTAATTTATCACAGGAATGGAGGATAACTCATGTTCAGTGTTTGGCTCTTCTGGCTACTAGTTCAAGATGTTCAAGGCTCATTATGTCACTAAAATAAGGATTGGCAGCTAAAACTCTAAATGTTTTTGTATATAGTTTAAAGAAGCAGCCTAGTTGCTCCCCTGGTGTTAAACTGTGGCTGTTGGGGATTATGTGGAGCTTTAGCCACTAAGGAAAGATGAAATTGATGCCAGAGACAGACTAAATGCATTGCAGTGAAACTGCCTGGTCATTTAGTCTCTGGTTCTTTTTTCAATGATTAAAACAGCTTTTTTCATTGTCCTTAAAACCATTAATTAAACATAAAAGAAACTATAATTTCAGAATAATGTTCCTTCATCAGTTTTTAAATAAAAAGGCCAGAAATGAAAAATAATTACCCCGTGGAGCAAAACACTGATAAAAAACATCTCCCTATTTATCACAACCCAATGTTGGTGAGTATGTGACTGAGAATTCCCAAAAGCAGAAAGCAGTGAAAGTTCTACCAGTAATTAGAAGAGCCTGGGATGTCTAAAGTGTTAAGGCTCATGTCTCTACGGGTCTTTATGGAGGACATCTAACAGCTTCAACAAAGGCTGCAGATGAAGTGTTGATGAGGAAAATGGTTCAAAATTCTGGAAGTAGAGTTCTCAGAGCCTTGGGAGGATCTGAAAGAAACTAGGAATCCTACAGAAATGACATTTTCTGAGACCAGACACTCATCAACACATTTTGGCTCTAACTTATAAACTCAGAGGGAAATCTGTGGCAGGAAGAAAAGATGATTCTGGATCCAATCAACTTATCTCCATGGCAACAGCAGCAATGCAGGGATTGATCCGAATGGTCCATGTTTCCTTCAAAGCTAAACAGTGATTTTATAAATATGTCAAAGAGACTAAAAAGGTGATTTCTGGGCTAACAGCCCAATGAGTGAAGAGGGGTTTAAAGGTTCTGATGGGTCTCTGGCTGAGTGGATCTTTAGTGAAAACAGATCTTCTACAATCTGAAGGTTTTCTACTCATTTCAAGGGAAGATGGAAACTGATCCAACGTGGAATATTTTGAAAATGATCTAAATCTCTAAACACCAAAAGCTCCAGCAGAGCTGTCCTGAAGGAGATGGATATTTAGATGTGTGAATGGTTGAAATGGTCCAAAGGATGAAGGAAGAACTTAAAGAGCAAAAACGTCCAGAAGCAACTATAACCATGAAGAAGAACCAGAAGGACTATAGAGCTGAATCAGCATCACACCATGAAGACATCTGGACTCACCGAGCCTTTCTGCAGTTCCTCACAACCGGAACCAGTCTACGTCGTCCTACCTCTGATGTGTTGTACTTCTCAAGGTCTAACTCATCCAGAACCTCTGACATCTGCAGCATATAGGCCAGAGCTGAGCACTGGATCTCTGAGAGCTCCTTCCCTGATCTGTTCTCTGATTTCAGGAACTTTTGGATCTCCTGATAAACTGAGAGGTCCTTCATCTCCATCAGACATTGGAAGATGTTGATGCTTCTATCAGGAGAGATTCTATTATCATAATCATCATCAGTGTTCATCTTCTTCAGATTTTTGATGACTCCCTGGATGGTTCCTGGACTGTTCTCCATCTGACTCAGCAGGCCTCCAAAGAGGCTATGGTTGGACTCCACAGAGAGGCCATGGAGGAAGCGAGCAAACAGGTCCAGGTGGCCATTTGGACTCCTGAGGGATTTCTCCATGACTTTCTTCATGAAGTCCTCCAGAGATGTTTCTCTGTGTTGTCCTCCCAGGAAGTTCTCCACCGCCTCTGTGGACCTGCTGGTGAAGCAGTGGAGCATGTGGAGTGCAGCCAGAAACTCCTGGAAGCTCAGATGAACAAAGCAGTAGACTGGTTTCTGGAAGATCACGCTCTCTCTTTTGAAGCTCTCTGTACAAAATCCTGAGTACACCGAGGACTCTGTGACATCCAGACCACACTGCTCCAGGTCTTCTTGGTAGAACATAATGTTTCCTTTCTCCAGATGTTCCAAGGCCAGCCTCCCCAGCTTCAGGAGAACTTCCCTGTCAGCCTCTATCAGCTCCTGTGGACTCGCCTCATGTCCTTCATGGTACTTGTTCTTCTTCCTCCTGGTCTGGACCAGCAGGAAGTGTGAGTACATGTCAGTCATGGTCGTAGGCAGCTCTCCTCTCAGCTCTGTGGTCAACAGGTTCTCCAGAACCGTAGCAGTGATCCTGCAGAACACTGGGATCCCACACATGATGAAGAGGCTCCTGGAGGTCTTGATGTGGGAGATGATCCTGCTGGACATCTCTTCCTCACTGAACCTCCTCCTGAAGTACTCCTCCTTCTGGGTGTTGGTAAAGCCTCGTATTTCTGTTACCCTGGAAACAAAGGAAGGAGGGATCTGATTGGCCACCGCAGGTCGGGAAGTTATCCAGACGAGAGCTGAGAGAAGCAGGTTCCCCTTGATGAGGTTCATCAGCAGAACGTTGACTGATGACTTCTGTGTGACGTCAGAAACAAGCAGACTGTTGCTGAAGTCCAAAGAAAGTCTGCTTTCATCCAGGCCATCAAAGATGAAGAGAAGCTTCCAGACAGCCAGCTTCTCTGCTGGGAGCTTCTGGAGGGTTGGATGGAAAACATGGAGCAGCGTGAGAAGACTGTGCTGCTGATCTCTGATCAGGTTCAGCTCCCTAAAGGAAAGCAGAACCACCACACTGACATCTTGGTTCTCCAAGCCTTCTGCCCAGTCCAGAGTGAACATCTGCACTGAGAAGGTTTTTCCAACACCAGCGACGCCGTTGGTCAGAACCACTCTGATGGCTCCATGTTGGTCAGGGACAGCTTTAAATATGTCATGACACCTGATTGGAGAACCATGGAGGTTCTGGATCTTGGAAGCTCTCTCCAGCTGCTGCACCTCATGATGGGAATTAACCTCTTCACTCTGCCCCTCTGTGATGTAGAGATCAGTGTAGATCCTTTTGAGGAGGGTTCTACTTCCTGTTTCATCACTTCCTTCAGCCACATGTTCGTATCTCCTCCTCAGATTGATCTTATGTTCCTCTAGAACCTCCTGCAGACCAACATCTGCTGAAACACAGAAGAAAAGACAACTGAAGGAAAAACCTGATTTAGAGATGAAGCTGGAACCAAACCATCTGGAACATTAGGAGGTGTTATCATTAAAAGGTCTCTTCCTTCACTTGATCTGATGCTAAACGATCTGATCTGTCCTCAGAAGCAGAACCTTGTTCAATTGTCAGACAGCATTTTTCTGCCTCTGTTTTGTGTTCAGTATCTCTTCACTGTCAGAATCTGATTCCCAAAGCAGAGAAGATGAAGAAATGCTGAGAAACCAGCAGCAGCTTTCAGCAACATCAACTTTTTAGCATCATATCACCATTGTCCTCATTGGCCTGGTTCTATTGGACCTTCTGCAACAAACACAGCAGCTCCAGAAGAGGCAGAGAGAAAGAAAAAGGTTTCCTCAGCATTTTCCAGCATTAATAAAGGAAAATAGAGGAAATGCTCTAATCTAGCAGAACAACTGTCATGGTCCATGTTCTGTGTTTCTTTGTTTTCCCTGTTCTCCCTCTGATTGGTTTCTCCCTCCTTCATTTATCCAGCTGTCCATAGTTCTGTAATTACCCCTGCATGCCTTTAAGTTCCTGTTTGTTCCCTGTGGCAGTCTTATATATGTCTTAACCTAGTCGTCTCGTGGTGTTCCTGGTTCAGACTGTGTCTATTAAACGGACCTTTCTTCTATGAGGAGGTGTCCTGCATCTCATCTGGATCCTGTTCCTCACCTGTTCTACACCGAGCTCATTGGAGCAGCTAGTGTTCACATTTAAATGGCATTTCTCTCTCAGAGATTGGATTGGATGTTTTTAAAGAATAATTACAGAGTGAAAATAACATGGGACTGATTTAGTTTTTTAGAAGATTGTTAGAATTATTCCATGGTGTAAATAGAAATATCTATCCTGTAATCAGTGATCTACACCTTTTTATTTTCATGCTTCAAAATGACCTCCAGTTTTTAGGAGAGGTTCAGTTTTAATGCATTTAGTCTAAAGGACTGAAAACAGAACCAGTTCAGCAAACCCAATAGGTTGTTGGGTTGAACACAGACGGCTCAGTTATAGCATCTGGAATTAAAGAGATTTAGTTGGAATAATTGATCCCAGAAATACTTTGAAAAGCTTCAGTCTCCAAATCCAACTAAAGACGTGGAATTGCTTCAACAGAGACGATAGAAGGAAGCTCTGATTGGAGATGTTCAGTCTTACCTGCTGCACAGCTGCTCTGATTGGCTGTCAGCGGTCCAGCCATGGTTCTGGCTCTTTTCCCACACTGGGGGGAGTAGGAGGATCCTGATGGAGCAGACTGGACCCTGTAGGACCTGATGCACTGTCTGCAGAACCGGTGTCCACAGCTGGTAGAGACTGGATCCATCAGGAGGTTCTGGCATAAAATGCAGCAGTTCAGCTGCTCCTCCTCACTAACATTGATCCTCTTCGTCTGTCTGTGGAGACATTTCTTCATCACTGAAATAGTTAACTATATACAGGGTGGGGCTGTCCTACTGAAGCTGAAGATGTTCATGAAGGTCAACTACAGAGAGGACCAGATGCTGGGTCAGAACCTCAGAGCATTGATGAAGTCTGAAATGAACTATTCTATTCTGTGGTTGTTATAATCTATTAAGGATGGACGTTAACTTGCATGTCTAATAAATAAGTAGTATAATTAGAGATTGTTGTCATTAGAAACCAGCATTTGTTCCAAAAAGCTCTGTGTGTGAGTCATGTCTTTATCCTGCTTCCCTCATGGTTGGGTAACTGCAGAGGTGGATATTCCAGGTGCAGAAAGTAAAAAGTCAGTACAGAGATCAGTTCCAACCATTTGCATTTCTATCTCATGCAGACTAATCAGCAGAGGGGCTGATCACCTGGTTAAGTGAACAGGATGAAGGAAAACAAGGCAGGGTTTTTACTTTCTGGACCTGGATGATCCACCTCTGGAAAACTGTAACAGCTACGTTTCTGCAGATGAAGAATTCATAAATACAGCTTACAGTTTACTTAATGGTCATTTTCCTCCCTCCATCCTTGATGTCTCCGCTTTTCCTCATATTAGATTCTGATTTTAAAGGTCTGAAACTTTCTGTCCTTAGAACCAGTATAAACAGCAGCAATGGCTTCAGATATGACCAATATTTATAAGCCCAGGAAAACTAAATACGTAGCACAAGATGGAGCATGAGGCCTAAAAGTATTAAACATGTTAACATTGTTTGTGTAAAAAAAGAGAAAACTCATCCAAAGCCAACTATAGAACATGGCATCAAATAGAGTTCAACATTTGAAGCTATTTGGACACAATCAGCAGTTTAAAAAGCTACCAAGGTGTTTTGGAGGCAAAATCTAACAATCAATCAATAAAACTTAATTTATAGAGCAACTTTTTTTTGTCAAACGGTTTCTCTGGGTTAATAATTTTTTTTTTAAATTCTGCTTTGAGTCCAGAAGATTTCTGAATCAGTCAGATTCATCAGAGGACTCACCTTAGATCTGCTGCTCCAGGATCATCACTGAAAACTAAAGGATGATCTTTGGACCGGTCACTCTTCATAGAAACACAGCTGGGTGATGGAGACCCTGCTCTGTTCTCCTCTGTGTTCCTCCACATGTTCCTCTGTGTGTTCCAGCCTGAATCCCATCTAAGAAGGAAATAAACACTCTTAGTTAACATGCGGTTCAGTCCCAGTTTCACTAATTCAATTTTCTGTTTGTGCTTTTGCTGCTTTGCTTATCTTATTTGTATTGTGTATTTGTTCTCTGCAGTGTTGTTTCTGACAGCCACCTTAGATTTAGTCTTAGTTTTAGTCTTCAGGACGAAAACTGTTATTAGTTTTAGTCACATATTAGTCATTACTATACTATGTGATAGTTTTAGTCAATTTCAATCGACTAAAACTCAACAAGGTTTTAGTCTAGTTTTAGTGAGTTTTATCATCCAATTTATAAAACAGTTAACCTTTAGAATTTCCAGTAGCAACCAGATTCTCTAGCAGACTGCCAGTTCTAGCCTAGATACTACAGTTGCTGGGTATAGAATGCTGCTGTGCAGTTCATCATTTCTGTTAGGCAGAAAACTGATTTCTACAATTCAAATAAACTTTTTTAGGAATTAATGCCCTACTTTGTTAAAAAATGTCTCACAAAATTTGTGAAAATAGCAGATCTAGTTCAACACATCATATTGGTTAATATAGCAGACAGACAAGCTAACAAAATGTAAAATAAAGGAATGGTTTTAGATATGCAAAGTTTCCATCCCAAAGCAAACATTGCGTGATCTAATATGAATTATGCATTACACACAGATCAATGAAACTTCATTGCTCCAAAAAAAGAAAAGAACAAAAACATTCTTCTTTCTACTTTGGCAATTTTGGCTTGATTTCTAAGAATTTAGCCCTTGGTTACCGCTGCTCAGGGTTCAAAGCAGATTTAAATCAAAGCGGTCAGATATAAAAAAAATTACACAGAGAACCTACATAATTCCCTTATAATGCCATGGCAATCCGGACCTAAGTTTCAATATGTTAACAAAAATGTAGAAATATTCAAATAGATAGAAACAAGAACTATGAGAGAGAGATATTCAAATATCTATGTCACTTTTCACCTGGGTCTTTATCCAAAAATAAACAGTATGCAATGAAATATTTTCTCAGGATATAATTTAGGGATTCCTTTCAGTAGAAATTAACGAAGGTTTAGCATCACTTCTTGTGAGCCGGAAGAAATAAAAATCCTGATAGTTAGACAAAAGGATGTTTCACACTTGGCACAGGATGAACAGCCATATATAGTTAATTAGGAAGCGAGGGCAGGAAGAGCCATACTGCTGAGAGCCAACCATCAGTGTGGAGCATAAAGCCCAGACTATGAGCTACGCACGTGCAAAGAAACATTTCTGCTAAAGCACAACAGGAAGAGCAGAGTTTTTCAGAGTTTAGCATGCAGTACTGGACCATTCCGGATTATTTTCACCCCTGCTGCTGCTGCCATGGTCCATCTGTGGTCATGCAGAATGTGCACCACTACACACCAGGTGGGCAGCATGACAAAACAGGATGCACCAGCACAGCTGATACTGCTTAGCAGATTACAGTACAATGATGCATTATAAATGTGTGACAGACCACCTGCTAATATTTTTATCCAGCCTTGTCCCATCAACAAAAACTCACACCCATGTCATTTATTTGTCATCAAAGATCCAGTTTAGTTCAGCCAGTGAGCTGAGCAGGAGCACAGAGTCAGTCTGGACCACTAAAACCAGTTTAAACTGGGAGCTGCAGATGAGCTTTTAGTGTTTCTTTACCATCACTGCTGAGATGAACTAAAATGATCAATTAAACATTTATTCTGAGTTCATCAGATAAACTGCAGCCTGAATGAAAGCTGAGGGTTCTGTTGAGCTCACAGCACAGAGCGGAGCTGATAGAGGAATGAGAAAGTTCTGTCTTCCAGCAGATCAGCTCTGAGGGGACGTTGGCCCCTCTGGTCCCTGCCTTCAGCCGGCCTTGAATCTGACAGGTATGAGGGTGGAGAGAGAAGGAAGGACATGCAGCTAATGGAGCCAGAACAGGAACCAAACCAGCACAATCGGTTCAGGGACTATAGCCTCGGCACATGGAGCATCTACTCTACCACTGAAGCACCCAGTAGAACCTGAACTGGATCAGAGGCAGCGTGACGCTAAGGTTTGTTTGATGCTGGGAGGAAAGAGACGCCACAGAGCTGCAGATGAACAGCTGCTGGGAGACTTATGGTTTCTGAGCAACATGATGAAGCTCTGAACGACCCAACCTGCAGATCCACAGGTAGGACTGTGTGGACAAAGACACCAAGGAGCCCACTGCAGTGAGGGCTGCTTCTACAGCCCAGTTCCACCAGCTGGAAAGAACCAGAACCATTCTGCTGATTCATGACACACTGAGTATCTATCTCTGCTCATTTAGATTCACATCTGAACAACTTCTGGGATTTATCAGGCTGAAAGGAGAGAAAATGACTTTGGACCTGTCAGTAATCTGCTGGATGCTGATGAGAAACCAGCAGAACAAACTCCAAACCAGTTCACATTCTAGAGGTTCTATCTCTACAGAGTCGCATCCATCAGTTAGAAACTGGTTCTTTACTCTGAGTCTGAGGGTCCAGGTTTTGCACTGAAGTCTGGGTTGGAATCTTTGGACCGGTCACTCCTCATAGACGGACAGCTGGATCCTGGAGGTTCTGCTCTCTGTCTGTGGTTCTGACCTCTGAAACACAAACATGTTATTCAGATCACAGGAATCAGTGAGAAACTCTGAGATAAAAAACAGAGAAGAAGAAGCTCTGAACACAAACTGCTGCAGAGAAGCAGAAGGTTTAAAGTTCCAGAGTGAAACATTCAGACGGTTCTGTTGGATCCAACTGAAAATTATCTGAAGAACTGGGTTCTACTGATCTGGATCACATGGGTCAAAGCAACACCTGCAAGACAACAGGCTCATGTCACAGTTTAATGGAGCTGATGAGATCAGATTTCTAGGAAGGATTCTACAAAGTACTACTATAGTACCCACTACTAGTACTACAAAGTCCAGAAAGTTCTGGACACTGACCCATTGATCACATCTAGTCTGAGAAGGTGGAGAGCAGCGGTTCTGGTCCCTGATATCAGAACCAAAGCTGTTCATCTTGTGTGAGGAGCTGATGTGGCCGTCATTAAAGAACAGAACACCGGACCGGACTCTGAACCAGAAACTTAGAACCAGAGGGACGACCCAAGTCCTGTTGTTCTTCTTTCCCTGTTAACCTTTGGCCGGGTCATCAGCCTATTGGATCCACTAGACCCAGTATATATATACTGAGTCCAGTATTCCCAGTCCAGAACCTCCTGTGGTCCAGAAGCTTTAGAGAGCATCTCTGAACCTGGTTGCTTCTCAGATTCTTGGTTGGTTCTGTTTTCCTCCATCATTGATTCTTAGGCCTTCATTCAAACTCTACTGATTTACTGACCGACATCCTCCATGTTTATTTAGCTTTAAATTGAAAGAAAAACTAAAGAAATTTGGATTTAGAGGCTGAAGATCAACCAGGTCAGATTCTATAGGTTCTATCTCTATAGAGTCACATGGATCAGTTAGAAACTGGTTCCTTACTTTATGTCTGAGGGGACAGGTTCTGCTCTGAAGTCTGGAGGTTCTCCTTCTTTGGACCCGTCACTCCTCATAGATGGACAGCTGGATCCTGGAGGTTCTGCTCTGTCCTCCTTTAGATCCCAATCTTCCATCTTATGGACTTCAGTCAGTCTGTGAGAGGAACCAGAACCAGTCAGTTCCCAGTGGTTCAGGTCCAGTTAGTGTCCTGTAAAGCAGAAAGCTGATTCCCATCATGTGTTTAGGGGACCAGAGGAACCTGATTCCAGCAGGAACCATCTGGGTCTGAATTATTCACTGCTTCATGGACCTCCTGATATTACATTTAATTCCTCAGAAAATGTTTATCAGTAACTGACTCCATGATAAACCTCCACCTTGAGTTTCTCAACAGCAACCCAGAAATAAAGCTCAGTTCTCCTCATTTGTGCTTCTATGTCACAGCACCAAAGGCCTCTGATAGGAAGACATGTCTGTGTCAGAATCATGGAAACGCTTCAGGTTCTCAGGTCAGCAGGTGTAAAGTCAAAGCAAGTAGAGGACAGCTTTGGGTTGGTTTGTTGCTCTCCAGCCACAGAGGCCTGCCTTCTTCTCCCCTGTTTACAGTGTTTGTTCAAAGCTCACAGTTCTGGCTCCAGAGCAAAGTGGAATTATTGTAGAGTGGAGACAGTGGGAGAGAATCCAAGAAGAAACAGCCCCTGGGAACAACTTCACCATGAACCTAAAAGTCCACAGTGGACCTCTCTCTGACCTCTCTGTTTGCTGCCTGTTTGCTCCTGTCATCTACCGTAGCATCAAGGCAGGGACTGAAGGAAAGTACTGAGTACTGGGAAAAAGGCAACTAGTAGCTCCTGGAATGGAAGCTGACTAAAATAAGTGGAGCAATATTATTGAAGCAAGTCCAACAGATAGAGACACAATCAGGAGGATTTATCAGAGAGGAGAACTTAGTTCAGGACAGATGCTCTCACATCTGTCTGCTGCCACTGTTAATCAAGCTCTGCACTGGAGGCAGCATGATGCTGCAGCTTCCCTCTCATCAGAGACGTTCCTGGAGCTGGAGGACGTCCTGAAGCCTCTTTTCTGCACCTGAACTTCTCAGCCTAAGGTTCAGTCTGACTTAGTTTCCATCTATCAGAGGTTTATAATGTTTAATCATGATTATAGCAGGAGTGGAGTAGAATTAAATATCAATATATATCCTGATAGAATCGGATTCAATAACGGTTATATGACTTTTAAACCCATTTCCAGTATCTCCATAAACATTGCAGTCCATGGTTACAGCGTTTGTCACTGACTGATGATCAGCTGATTCAAGTGAAACAGTAAGCCCCTCGACACCACAGATGGGGAGCCTGTGGCTGCAGCAGCAGGCTGTGCTCAGTGCTGGGCTAAGCTCCAAGGAGGGACGTTTAAGCTACAAATGAGGGACCATTATAAGGAGACCAAATGTCCCCGTTTTGGACAATCTGTACTCGGCAAAAGGCAGAGAGAGACAATGAAGCAGAATGATGAAATGGGGGTCCCTATGTCCTCCAGCAGTCTAAGCCTATAGCAGTATAACTATAGAGATAGCTCAGGATAACCTGAGCCACTCTAACTATAAGCTTTATCAAAAAGGAAAGTTTTAAGCCTAGCCTT